TTGGGTTGAGGTTCCTTGGCGTTCTGTATGCTTCAGTTACCTGAATGTCAGATTGTTTCCTCATATTTGGGACGTTTTCTGCTATTACTTCTGCCCATTTCTTAAATGTCATTTGTATTGACTCCTTCTTTCTCATTGATGCCTATTAGTCTCACATTTTTCATCTTTGCATCATCTTGCAGGTGATGGATTATTTTTTCCTGTATCCTAGTTGTTTTTAACTGATCCTTTCTTACCTTTTCACTAGCTGCACCAGTGTCTTCAAGATCTGAAACTCTATCTTCACTTTCACTTAAACGGTTTTGCAAGCTTGTGATTGAGGTTTTAATTTCCTCTATATCTCTTTTAATCTGCTTCATGCGATCTATTTCTTTCCTGAATTCTCATTCAAGCAATCCGTCATTTTTCTAAACTCCTTATTTTTTTAATCAATGTCTTCTTTAGAAGCAGTTATAATTTCTTTTACTGCAGTGTTTTTTCAGATTGGGTTAGCTCCCTATGTTTCTGTAGTTGATTCTTCACTTCAGATGCTAAGAGTTCTGAGAATTCTTTTTTTATTTCAGAAATTAATTCCGCTCTGGTTTCCTCTATAACTTTCTGCTGTTGCTTATTTACTATCAACGCTATTAATTCATATATTTGAGCTGAGCTAGTAGAAAAGAATTCCGCACTGAATTCCTCTATGACATTTTGTTGTTTCTTATTTACTATTGACGCTATTAATTCATACATTTGAGGTGAGCTAGTGTCCTCTGCACTTGTTCTGGGTGGGCACTGGGTTTCCTCTACGTGTTTCTGCATTTGATTCTTTACTGCAGGTGTTATTAATTCAGGGATTTCTTTTTTTATTTCCAATCTGAGGTCCTCTATACCTTTCTGCAGCTGTTTCTTTATTTAAGAAGCCGTTGATTCATTGCTTTCAGCTGTGTGATTCCCAATTTGTTCTGTGTTAGTGTCGTCTGCACTTGTTATGCATGTTCTTGGGTTCTGAGATTGCATTTTGCTCCTTCTCATTGTCATTTTGTGTAGCAATATCTTTGACCTTTGTTGTAGATCTTGTTGCAGTTATAACCTTAGCACCTACTGAAATTCAGGTGGAGAGCTACAAAGTTTGGATTTATCCAGCTGTGCCTGACTTGGGTAGGGTTGCTGTGCTCAGCTCCTTCCTGCTGCTGCCCTTTGGGGTGAACCTGTTGTGCCCCTCTTGCAAGATGTTCTTCTCCTGGACTAGCTGGGTTGTTCTGTCCCCTACACTTTCTGCAGGGATTGTAGCTGCAGGTTTTTACCCCAGGTTGTATGCCAGGCCTGAGCTGAGTCTGGAGGGGACAAGGTAGGGTAGGTGAGAGAGGCAGCTCTCCCACATGCTCACCGGGCCTGGCCTAGGACTGGATCAGTGGGTTCCCGGAATGCGAGAGAAATTCCTACTCTGTGCGCGGAGTGTGGGGGGATACTACGGAATGATGTGTGTGTCCCAAGAGGAAGAAAGAGTGTGTCACCCACACTGCACCTGGAGTGGAACCAGTAGGTCATGCCTGCACAGGGTATCCAGAAGTTCTCCCACACACTCACCATCCTGGGCTATGACTGGGTCTGGGGGTTCCCAGATCGTAGCAGAAATTCCTACTCATCGGGCAAGTTTGGTGAGGTTATATTTGTGATTGAATGGAACCGAACAACCTGGTTTGGCAGCATAGTGTAATTAAAACATATTGAAAATTATAATATCTGAGCATACTAAAGCAAAAGAAGGTTAAACTCATATTTTTTGGTCTTTAAAACAGATGAAGTGGGTGACGTGTACATGTTAGGCCTTAGATTTGCTGGAGATATCTTCATACTTTTCAAAAACTTAGTTCTCTTTTTTGACCGGCAAAATATCTCAGTGGACTAAGCACCTGCTTAGGCATGCTCAGCGACTGGTGTTCAATTCCTGGTACCACAGGCAGTGCCAGCCCTGCCCTCCTGATGCACTGAGATGGTGATGGAGTCCGGGTGTAGTGGCACACGCCTGTAGTCCCAGCTACTGGGAGGCTGAAAAGAGAAGGATCACTCTGAGTTGAACTGCGTAGTGACACTCTGTACAAATAAATAAATAAATAAAATAAAATATAAAATAAAAAATGAAAAGGAACTTAGTTCTCTTTTAACTAAATTTTATTCCAGATTCTTAGTAAGATGAACATTCATACAAAAAGATTTTCTTAAATAATTTGGGTTACTAATAAAGCACTTCACCTCATAAATATTTGAATCTAGAAGAATTTTGAAGTGAGTTTATGCTTCCTTGAGATCATTCTATTTATTCATCCATCTGTCTATCTAGTCATGAAATTTTTAAATATCTCACATTTTTATAAATTTTTAACTTTAAGGGTATTTTAAATATACAATATCATATTTAATACATTTTTAACCATAAGGCCTTCAGTTAATTATTGCTGTCTTTGAATACATGATGTACAACATGTTTATCTTGTTTAATGTTTTATTAATTTTAATGAGAAATAGTGAGGCAGTTTCAAAACTGGTTAGTAGGACAGTTACTATAATTAATACATTGCATATTGTTGTCTTCGTAGTAGTTATTCAGAGTATAAGGTGCAAACATGACATCTTGTCTAAACACCATTAATACAAATCTTTCATCTCATTGAACTAAGAGAAAGTAGCTGTATATCTATCCTAACTATTTTGTATATACAGATATATTTTTTTCACTACAAAATGGTCCTTCATTTATATCCCCTTTTTTTGTTTTGTTTTGTCAGAAATGGGTGTTCCATTGCTGTTAGAGAAGCCATCTTTTTTTTCTGTAATGCAATTCATGAGAGAAGTACTATAGAAATTTGTATATCTAAGTGTAAATGTTTTAGGCTCCATTGCACAACCCAAACAAGCATAGCCAGCACTGCTGTACTTGCATGCCATATGTAGGATGATATATATACTAGAATTGACTTTTGCATATATCAAATTATAATCAAATTCAAATACTATGGGATATCATTTGCAAAAGGATATAGCATATTCCCTGACACATAATAGCTACCCCACAATGCTAATACAGTATTTTCATTTCCGTGGAGGTTTTGATATCGTATACTTTATTTGTGATAGGTGATCTTTAAAGTTTCACATGAACTTCCACATTTGTAAGTGAAAACCTTTTCACAATAGAAGGATTTGTGGTTCTCAGTGTTTGCTTCACTTCTTTAGCTCAATGTGCAATCTGCTGCTCAACAATTATAGCAAAAATAAGAATAATTGCTGACTAAATCCTTTTATACAAAATGCAAATATTTTTCTCCTCATTGCCACATTTGTTTTTAAAAGTAAAATGCAAGTTATTTTTAGAAAATGAATTTTATAGGGCCGGCCAAATAGCTCAGCAGATTAAAGGGCCTGCAAGAAGGTGCCGGGGCCGGAGGTTTGATCCCTGGGCCAGTTCTGCCAGCCCCGCCCCCAGGGCTCACTGAGAAGGCTATTAAGTCTGGGCTTGGTGGCGTGAGCCTATAATTCCAGCTCTTGCGTGGCTGTAAACAGGTGGATCACTATGAGTCCAATCTATTAGTGAGACCCTGAACACCCTGTAGACACTTCCCTAAGATACAGGGAAGAAAATGGTTTTTCACCCCATTTCTTTACACATTTGGCTTCAGGGAATTTATCTATCTGTCTGTCTGTCTGTCTGTCTGTCTGTCTATCTATCTATCTATCTATCTATCTATCTATCTATCTTTCTAGAGGGTGTTAATGCTGACAGCATCAGACAAGCATCAGAACAACTGAATAGCCGGTGGATAGAGTTCTGCCAGTTGCTAAGTGAGAGACTTAACTGGTTAGAGTACCAGAACCGCATCATCACTTTCTACAATCAGCTGCAACAATTGGAGCAAATGACAACCACTGCTGAAAACTGGTTGAAAACCCAACCCACCTCTACTTCAGAGTCAACAGCAATTAAAAGCCAGCTAAAAATCTGTAAGGTAAGAATCTTTCCTCCTTCCATTTAGATATGATTGCTAGGCATTTCTTAGTGATTACCAAGAGAACCATCACAAAATGTTTGGAAACGGAATTCTCACCTTCTAGAGATTTAACTGAACACAGACAAGATCAAATATGAATAAAGAAAATCAGTTGAAAGATGATGAATGAATGTATATTCCTATATAGAGATCCTAAAATCCTACAGTTTGTAGAGCAATTATTCCTGGCTATTTTATCTTGTCAGTTTGCTAAGGATTGAGACACTGATAGAAGGTTGAAACTTCATAGAGCCTATGAAAATGACCTATGCTTTAGAGATTTTCTTTGCTAATAACAAAAGTCTCGTCATCTGCTGAAAAGCTGGAATCTGTACAAATAGCTGAAATACAATTCAACACTACAGGGACATGTTATAAAATGGGATACCTAAGGACAATTATTAACATAAACGGCCCACTCAATTCAAGAAAATTTGAATAAGGTTTCATTGCAAAAAGCTATTTTAGGACTATGATTGGAGTATCAAAGAACCTCAAGGGATAGTGCAATATCTTGGCATCAGAGCTATTATTTGTCTTAGAGCAGAAAAATTGAGAAGGGAATTTTTGGAAACTCAGAAGAGAGTTAGATTCTCATAGTACAAGGAAGATTAAGAGTCAACCCAAGGCATCCTGGTGGAAATGGAGCCAGAAGATAAGTGGTCAGCTTTATTTCCCCTACCTTCCAGCACTGTTTCTGAACAGGGCTCCCCACTGACTCAGCTTAATCACAAATGGCCAAAGATAAGGAGCTTTTACCTGTAACAATGTGTCTCCTGGGACAGGGAAAAGGTGGCCAGTGAAGTGGGAGAGGCAAAGCAATTGAATTAGCACAAACCAGGCTGAGACAGAGATTAAAAGAACATATTTGCAAATGTATGAAAACTAGAAATATATAATTATTGGAAGAGCTTGAATTTTCTCATCATTTTTATGACCTGTGCACTTTCATAGGAAATTGATTAGAGGATGGATTAAAGGGTTTTTAGGATGAACATTTAATGATAGATTGAGATGATTCTATTTAAGAAGAATAGAGGTTAATTTACATACTTTAAAAACAATAGTTTAAGTAATGGGTGACTGGAGATGGAGAGGTAACAGGGTTATGTGTGAAAAAGTAATTGAATCCAGAAAATTATTGGAAATTCAAAGCTATTTTTAGAGGAAAAAAATTGAAGGACTTGGTGTTTTTCTCTTTAAATATTAGAACTAAAACTTTAGTAAGAAATATACTCATAAAATATAATTTTGGATATAGAATATACTATAGAATTGCAACTCAACTTATTAAATACTGCTCTAAGACATTTCTGCATTTAGATACTTTCTATAATTTAGTAGTAGAATCCATGTGCTTTCTGTGAATTAGAAGAGTAATTACCATATATTATTTCTCGTAACGAATGTACATTCCTTTAGTCTGATTATTGTGATTCAGTTTTAGAAATTATTAATAGCATCTACAAAATACACTCATCTGTGACATATATAGAGGGTAGTATCCCTAAAGGATCCAAGAATGATACTGAATATGTCAGTTAGCTTGAGCTGACATTGTAAATAACATTGATTGAGTGATTTAAGCAATACAACTCTCTTTATCACACTTCTAGTGGTTGGAAAATCCAAGATCAACGTCTGGCTGGGTTCAGCTTTTGTCAAGGGCTCTCATACTTGCCTGTAGATGATCAGCTTCTCAAAATGTTTGCACACATAACATGTCCAGACTCATGTCTGTGAAGGCTGATGGAGTATGTACAAGTGACAGTGAGCTTCTTGGTTGTATAAAGCTATCAACCCTGTGAGATTAGGACCCCCACTGATGGCACCCTAACTTTAATTACTTTCTAAACATTCTCTTTCCAAATACTCATAGTTTCTTTGAGGGTCAGGGTTTCAAAATGTATATTTTGAGGAAAAACAGTTCAGTTCATTGCACTATGTTTTGAAAATAATAGTGAACTTTACTTATCCTTGCTTCATTGTATTTATGTAGAGTAGAGAAGAGAAGCACTAATCCAGGGAATAAATTAAATAAATGTAAAAAGTCCACCGTGACAAATGTTTCTGCAAATGTACACAGTTGGGGAGAATATTTAACAGGAAAAGCCTGAGCTAGACAGAACCCGCAAGGAAAGTTTCCTTTGTAGAGGGACATTTGAAATGAAACTTTAAAGATGAATTGGCATTAACCAAGAGAAGTACTGTAAGGTACTTCAGTTAAAAGAAACATGGTGTAAGGGAGCAATGAAGATCAAGTGAAAGCCAATGTGAATGGTGAGTACAAAGGAGCAAAAGAGAGGACTGAGGAAGGAAGGTGAAAATGTAGAGAAATGGATGAATAGATAGATAGATAGATAGATAGATAGATAGATAGATAGATAGA